TCCATCACAAGGGACAGCCATTTTGAGTAGGTGATCTGTGCTGTTCTTAATTGTTAATCTCTGATAAATGCTACAAGCTCACCTTCTGTTGTCCAGGCTTCTCTTCCAGTGTAGGTACTCTGGCACTTCTGTGGAAGCTCTTGTTGTGGAGGTTAACACTGTTCCTCCACCTCCACCAGTAGCTGCTCCTGGACCCCTCAGGGTGCAGCTTAGACTGGCCAATGGCCAGTGTGTCACCAAAGGTTGTGCTGAAGGTATGTTCTTGTCCCATGTGTTCCTCGTATCTTAAGACTCCAGGTTGCAGCCATTTCTGGTTAATCACCAGTCTTGTTCCTCAGGGGATGAGGCCTTCACGTCCTACTACAGTGATGCTGATTATCCCATCACAAAAGTCCTTCGTGAGCCTGTGTATGTTGAGGTGCGCCTAATGGAGAGGACCGACCCCAACATTGTCCTGATTCTGGGACGCTGCTGGGCAACTTCAACCCCAAGTCCACTCAGTCTACCTCAGTGGGACCTTCTGGTTCATGGGTTAGTATATGGGTTACTTTATGTAGTTGGTCTGAGGCCTTTTCTGATGGTTAGGTTTTCCTTTCAGATGCCCTTACCAGGATGACCGTTACCTGACCACGTTAGTTCCAGTGACTGGATCATCTGGTCTTCAGTTCCCAACCCACTACAAGCGCTTTATTGTGGAGATGTTCACGTTTGTGGATCCGGCGTCATTGGCTCCTCTGCAAGAAACTGTATGCCCCCCTTTTACTTGAACCTTTAATTTTACTCATTCTATGACTTGACCCTCTTTCCTCCGTCAGATCTTCATCCACTGTAGTACAGCAGCGTGCCATCCATCTTCTGGCTCCTGTGAGCAAAGCTGCAGCAGGAAGAGTGAGTTCTTTGTCCAACTTGACTCGAGGAACTGAGAATTTAAGTGGCCTTCACACTTCTAACATTTCTCTTACAGGAAGGGACACTCAAGCCATGACAATCTCTAGAGAGCAGACTGTGGTTTCCAGTGGAGAAGTTACTCTGATCATGTAAATCTCAAGTTAATAAACTTCATGAAACCCAAGATAACTTCGTCTATTGGTATTGTTTTGACTATGCAGAGTCTATTGCATGCCTTTTTCCCAGTCTTCCCCCGCCCTACTATATTAAAGGTGTCATGAACTGAGAAATTGAAGTTCCCTTGATCCGTTGACATATGGTAACTTTTCTTGTGAGTCTAAAAAGCTTACATTGAAGCCAATATGACGGGTTATGGAATGTGCCACTTTATGATGTATTAGTGTGGCTAAACCCTGCCTCCACAGGAGATCAATGCTAGCTTCTACATCCCTGCTGGTTTAGTTCTGCCCACTGTTTCATGCATGTAATGTAAATGAGAAGCAAATGCAGGTCTATGCAGAAACCAAACGATAAATATTCTCTGAAGGTGGCAAGATGCTGTCAAGTTATGGATGGAAAAACCGAGCCTTTGCCTGCCTTCTGATCCCAACGTTAGAAAAGGGTGGATGAACTTTTATTTTTACTTCCAAGTCTACATTCTGCCACACCTGTTCAAATGGAGCATTTTGGTGAGGGAGTCAAAATGGCACAAAGAATTGCCTATTCTTTTTGATGTAAAATCTTGATAACATAAGTGGACATCTGAGAACAGTATGAAATAAAGACAGTTCATGACCCCTTTAAACCAATGTTCCATTTGCTTTTGCAAGGTCAAACATCCCGAGTCCAAGCTTCTGCCAAAGCCATTTACAGTAATTTTCATAAATATTTGCTAACCACCAGCTGCTAATCTGGAGCACTCATTCTTCACGTTCCACATAAGGTACCAAATTAAAGGTTATGATTAACTTGTCTAGTTAACTGGAATCTTTGTGTGAATATAAATTTTTTTTAAATGGCTGTACTGACATGACTCACTGCTATGCCAGGTCTAAGTACTATGCATCTGAGTTTACTTGTTGACCATATCTGATGCTTTTCTCAGTCATGCAATTACAGCTATCGGCTTACATGGAAAGACATAAATTAACCATTAGGCCACAACTGCTACTGTACTTTGCCTTCATCACGTCAAAAACAGGGCGACAAAACGTTTTGTCAACACGACAAAAAAAAAAAGGGGAAGTCGTGGCCTAATGGTTAGAGAGTCGGACTCGTAACCCAAAGGTTGCGGGTTCGAGTCTTGTACCGGCAGGGATTGTAGGTGGGGGGAGTGAATGTACAGCGCTCTCTCCCACCTTCAATACCACGACTGAGGTGCCCTTGAGCAAGGCACCGAACCCCCAACTGCTCCCCGGGCGCCGCAGCATAAATGGCTGCCCACTGCTCCGGGTGTGTGTTCACGGTGTGTGTGTGTGTTCACTGCTGTGTGTGTGCACTTTGGATGGGTTAAATGCAGAGCACCAATTCCAAGTATGGTTCACCATACTTGGCCACATGTCACAAAAACACTTTATTTATTTTTTTTTAAAATCTTGGTTAAAATTGGCTGTTAATGTGTCAAGCTGTTCCCAAGTCTCTAACATTTTCAAGCTAGTCCCATTAATGTATATTATAGAGCTGGTGCTTTTTTTGGCTGCTTTACACTCTTTTTGAGAACAAGATGGTGCTGCGCATGGCTGCCTTGGTTTGTAGCTCCTTGGTACTTTTACTATTTTTGTTTGTTTGTCCTGTTTTAAGTAACTTTTTTTTCGATCCGCTTTACTAGGGACGAACTCCTAGACATCAAAAATAGCACACCAAATAATTTATTGCCGAAATTTTTAGCATTCAGATGTTTTACTGGACATTCTAGTCGGATGAGCTGCAATCCTTTACAAGCGCTCCAAGTGATGCAAACGAGGGAAGCGCCCTGGTGCGCTTGTGAAATTCCGACAGCGCGGTTTTATGACTCCGCAGCTGAATATTCATCTAGCGAATCTCCACTCCCGAGCAAATAAAACCGACGAACCACTACACCTCACCCTCACAAACAAGGACTTTTTAAACTCTGCTGTGCTTTGCTTCACGGAAACCTGGTTGAACGGAGCCATCCCAGACAGCACGCTTCATCTAACGGGCTTCCAGCTGTTCAGAGCGGATAGTGTCACCAAGTCGTCGGGGAAAATGAGAGGTGGTGGATTCCCTGCAAACATGCTCCTGCAGGGCCCATGCAGGTTTTGTGTAGGCAGCCCTGTAATGCAACTAGGAGAATACAAACAACATTGACTGGCCTTTATTTAGCCACTCAATTGAACTGGAATGGCTCAAACTAAAAGAGACCTTTTCAGAACCTGTTGTTTCATATAGGCCAGGGATCCTCAAATCTGGCTCACAAGATCCACTTTCCTGCAGAGTTTAGTTCTAACCTCAATCAAACACACCTGAGCATGTCTTGAGGATCATTACAAAACCACAGGTGGGTGAGTTTGATCAAAGTTGGAGCTAAACTTTGCAGGAAAGTGGGTCTCACGAGTCATATATGAGGTGTAACAGACATGAGAATTTTGTGGGCAGCATATGATGTTGCTAAAAAGAACATTATTTTGTGTATTTGGTGTAA